GGCAGGACAGCGCTGAGCAGGGCTGCAGCGGGCAGTGTGGAGCTGTGGGTGGGATGTCTCCTCATGCACAGGGCACTGTGGCTCAGCCGGGCCCGGGCACCAGGGGAGTCTCTAACCCAGGAGTTTCTGAGGCAGCGATGGAGCCGGAGGGCCCRGGGAGCTCTGAGGCTGTGGGTCAGCAATGCCGGGGGTGCAGCACGAGGGGTCCGGGTGCCGGGAGCTGTTCGGTTCTGCGAGGAGGGAAAATCCTCCCTCTCTGTGCTCAACCAGCCCTCCCTGCCCTGTCTGGGGTTTAGGGGACACAGGGAATGCCCCCACTCCATGATGGCACAGACAATGATCCCACACCCTGAGGGCACAGGGAACACTCCCACATCCTGAGGGCACAATGATCCCACACCCTGAGGGCACAGGGGACACTCCCACATCCTGAGGGCACAATGATCCCACACCCTGAGGGCACAGGGAACACAATGATCCCACACCCTGAGGGCACAGGGGAACACTCCCACACCCTGAGGACACAGACAATGATCCCACACCCTGAGGGCACAGGGGAACACTCCCACACCCTGAGGGCACAGACAATGATCCCACACCCTGAGGGCACAGGGAACACTCCCACACCCTGAGGGCACAGACAATGATCCCACACCCTGAGGGCACAGACATGATCCCACACCCTGAGGGCACAGGGGAACACTCCCACACCCTGAGGGCACAGACAATGATCCCACACCCTGAGGGCACAGACAATGATCCCACACCCTGAGGGCACAGACATGATCCCACACCCTGAGGGCACAGGGGAACACTCCCACACCCTGAGGGCACAGACAATGATCCCACACCCTGAGGGCACAGGGAACACCCACACCCTGCTCTGTGCCTGCCCCATATAGTGGGCCCCGTTGACACTCCCAGGGTGTCCAACCCCAGTAGGGTTTTTGGCAGCACCGTGCTGGAAGCGGGGGTTATGCCCGGGATTTTGCCTCAATAACCATTAGATCTGCCTGAGTCGGGGAAGAGACAGAGAGAAAAGAGACAGTTCCATCCGTTTTGAGGGAGGGGAGGAGGAACAGGGGTCGTTCCCCCCTTCCAGAAGACTCTGACAGCGGCCCCTCGGTGGCAGCAAGGGGGTTCCTTGTTTGTCTGGTCGGGACATTGATCCTGTCCCAGTGTCCTGAGCCACAGGATGTCACTACAGGGCATCCAGAGGCAGGACAGGGAGCCCAAAGCCCCTGAAAACAYGAGCTGGGGAAGATTCTCCTCCCAAACTCTCTACTGTAATCCAGGCTCATCTTCCAGAAGCACGGCCCGGGGCAGGTCCCAGCTTTGTCTCCTCCACAGAAACACAATTGCTTGCCAGCCAAGCCTGTTGCCTCAAGGATTATCCACAGCAGAGACAGAAAGACCTTCTCCTTCCCAAGGGAAGCCAAAGGAAATACTTTAATTATCAGCCAAGTCCAACAAAGCAAATACATGCAGGTTAATGAGCATCCCAGTGGCACACACCTTATCTAAGCAGGTAGATATTTCCTCCCTAATTGAAAAGAAAAGCTGTTCACTAGGCAAAAGTTCTTTTAGGGACTTTCYTTATGCAATTGAACTGCTAATGAGGCTGCTTAGTCCTTCCCACTTTTCTTGCAGCATCTTCCCAGTGAGGCACCCTCAGGTTCCCAGGGACCAGCAGAAAAATAGGGGCAAGTTTCATTCCTTGGAGGCGGCTGATGGAATCTGGGGGGCTCAGGGCTGGCAGGGAGGGGTGGCAGGACCCTTTCCCTCTGGGGCTCAGGGCTCTAGCTGCAGGCTCTGATTCCTCTGTTCTTTCTTATATCCATAAATCCATCTAGGGCTGCTTGTGTCTAAACTCTTCTTTGGTGTGAACATTGTTTTTCCAAGTGCCATCTCTGTCTATTTAACATACACATCGTGGGTACCTGTAACCCTTCTTTGGGAGCCTCCTTCCCACCTGCACACACCTTCTTCCCACCTGGGCAGTGTCTGCTGCTCTTTAATGCAGTGCTAAAGGAGATGGATACTGAGGCAGGGACTTCTGCTCTCTAATCCCTTAAATGCTGTGAGCCATGGAGCATTCCTGCMTTCCCAGAGTGAAAACAACCTCAAAAATAATTTCCTTTAGCCTAAAACTCAGCACCCAGATTTCCAGCCTAGCTAAAACCAGAAATTTTCTTTTCCCCCTGCAATGAGGCACCTGCCTTGTCCAGAGGCAGGTCCTGATTGGGTTTGGGGTTCAGCAGGAACATTGCAGTGTAATTTCCTTATTCTGCCAAACACTGAGGCTCCTGTGGATGTGACTGGGCTTGCAAGTGCTCGAACTCCTCAGAGAAATTGCTTGTCATCCTTGGCTGCTTTACAGCTGTAAACATCACAAAGACAAAGGCGTCCGAKTGCTGTACTCAGATTGTACCTGCTCCTGCTCATAGTTAACAGGAGATGGACTGCAGAAAAAATAACAACAGAATTCACTGTTTTTCTCTTCTTTCTCCCTGCTGACTGGCAGTGAAATCTTTGCTATCTTCCACACCCACTGCTTTTATTATTTTATCAATRCTCAGCACTGCCACAAAAGTGATGGAAACCCGGGATGG